CGCGGCTCTTAAAAGGCGTTTGAGGGTTTTGCGTGTGTTTTTTCCCTCGTAGCTGCCAGCGCTCTGGGCCAGGCCCCGCTGCCGGTGGGCTCCAGGTGGGCTCTTTGCTGGCTCTGATAAAGGATGAAGCGCTTTATCCTTGTTAAAGGGAGCCTTGGGTCGAGAGCCTGTGAGTGCCCAAGCCACGGATGCTATAATCCTCCTCTTCCCCGTGAGAACTGCCTTTTACTATTTTTTAATGCCTAATGTACATGTTTCAATTAAGTAAGAAATCTTAAAGTGGCTCCTGGGGCAGAAATGGGCTAGTAGTTCTTCCCTAATTTCTGTGACTTTTGCCTTTCTCTGCATGTCCTGAGCTGGCACTTTGAGTCAGTCGTTAGCCCCTTGAGACAGGCTCTGCTGCACTAGCAGAACTGCCCTGTCTTGGCTGACTCTAGCTATCAAATGGTCCTGGGCAGCTCTTGAGCACAACTAGGGAGTATTTTTTATTAGCCTCTCCCTAATTCATTTTGCAATGAACTTAATGGATGGGGCTCATGTGATGCCAGTGCCACCTCAGAGGAAAAACCCCAGTGTCCCACTTCGCGGGGCATCCTGCTCACCTGGTCAGAGCATCGGCCGAGGCACAGGAATGTTTTAGCTGTCAGTGCCTAAAGGTAGATTTTGTCCAAGCATGTGGTGATCCTGCAGTCTCAGGGTGATATTTCCTGCAGGAGCTGATCAGCTTTTTGGTGTTGATGGTCTGTTATGGTTTGGCCTCCAACTTCTTGTTCTTCATGTTATTTGCAGTGGTGGACTTTGTATCGTCAGACCTGGAGGACATTGCTCAGAAGTGTTCCCTGTCTTACAAGGTAAAGGGAGACTTGTAAGTCCTGTTACGTTAACCTGGGAGCTCAGAGCTGTTCAACTCAGTGCTTGGTCAGACTTGTCCACAGGGACCTTCTGATTCTCCTGTGTCATTGGTTTCTCTGTTGTGCTTGGCTCTGTGTTAGTCAGCCTTGTGCTGAGCGCTCAGTATTTTACTACTGTGCTTAAGAGCCCAAGCTGTGAATGGGGACTGTGCTATCAGCACCCTATATCGCTGGGTGGGTTGCTGGAGCGTGTGGGACCCACAGTTGCCCAGGGCAATGGAGACCGTTTGTTTTGTGTTGTCCCTGCACTGCCCTAGCCCAAGACTTCCTCAACTGCCTTTTCAGATGTCTCTCTGCCCACCAGGCTCTGGTTGCTGTGAGGCGCGTGCTCCTGGCCCAGTTCTCGGCCTTCCCTGCCAATGGAGCAGACCTCTATGAGGAGCTCAAGAGCTCCACGGCCATCTTGTCCACTGGGATTGCCAGGTGGGTACATTGCCCAGGGTGCAAACAGGTCTGGCTGTGGGAAACTCTCTGTGGAAAGACAGTCCAGCCTGGGCTTTGGGTTTCAGCCAGGTGGTGCTTCAAGCACTGTGCAGGGTGAGATGGGACGAGGGTGGAACGGACCTGGGGTGCTATGGCCAGCGCTCCTTCGTGGAGCTGCTGCAGCTCTCCTGCCTATGGTCTCAGCCACCAGGCTCTCCACCTTGAAGCCCTCTCTGCGGTGCTAGGATGAGAACGAAGACATTTATTCTTCATATCCTGCCCAAACCATGGCTGCAAACTCAAGTCAGTCTGTGCCCCTTGAGGGAATGGCATTGCTGTTGTCCTCCTGAGAGCCTGTACCTCTCCTGGAAAGTGATTAGCATGTCTGACTTCTAGGCTAGATGACATGCTCCCTTCACCCTTTCCTTAGCGCTCTAGAGAGGAGGATTATAGACTTGTGAGGAGGGTTGAGTGATGATGGTCCAAATTATCTAGATCAGGCACAGAAATAAGTTGTGCTCTTCTTCTGTGACTTATTTCTCCCTTTCTCCAGTTGCCTCACCAAGTGGTTGCAGTGACTGTGCAGAGAAATCTGGGGTGTTCACAACTTGAGAGCTCTCAGACCACAGTTCTTCTCCTCTTCAGGACTGTCCTCTTATACATGACACTGCAGGCCTTCTGCTGCTCTCCAGAATGTGGAGAGACCCAGGGGAAGGGGGGAAGGAGCAGAGTCTGGGCCACTCATCTGCAGTTGGAAAGGGACCTCTGTAGGGATGAATAACTGGGGATTGCTGCTTCCCAATGCCCTTGCCCTTCTGCCTGAAGGTGTGTAAATAGTTCCACCCTTGTGTTCAACCCTTAGTTTGGACAAGCTGCTGGACTCTGGGCTGTACACAGGGGAAGTGACAGAGCTCATGGGAGCGCCTGGCAGTGGGAAGACACAGGTGAGCAGGACAGAGGAGGGCAGTGGACAGGTATGATGAAAATGATGCTACAGTGCATGAGGAAGGTGACTTCTCCCTGGACCCATGCTGCAATCTATATTTAAGGACACAACCTGGACTCACCCCATCCTACCTTTGGTTAATTGGATGGTTTCTAATGAGAACACAAGGAGGAGGGGGGAAAAAAGCTATTGTCAGCTTTTGGCAAAACCCATCTGTTCCCACCTTCTCCCTATGCTGGTCTCCTACATTGCAGGCTTTCAGGCACAGGAAGGAGGGACCTGATCCAAAGCTGGGGTGTGAGGCTGGTGTGACCTTTTGAACAGAGGAAGTCTTTATTCTTTCCAGCTTGGTAGCTCCTGTGGTGAAGGACCCTGCTGCTGCAGGTGGCTGCCTTGGCTGTGAGGCCGTCGGAGCAATTTTGCCACTGGCAATCGTTGGCCCTTTCAGCTTGCATGGGGTGCAGATAAGAGGAAAGCACTGGGAAAACAGGCTGTGGGCAGGCACCGGCTTTGTCTCCTCCATCAGCCTTCAGCCTTTCCCAGAGCACAGGGCAGCCCTGGCAGGAGGCTTGAAACCAGACTTCTGCTGGTTCTGGCTGCTGTGGGATCACCAGGAAGGCCTCTAGCTGGGACCAGGAGGACCCTGGGGGCTCCTGATCTCCTGCAGGAAGCTGGCAGACATAGGACCAATTCCCAAGCCTTGCCTCTCCTAGGTGTGCCTCAGCATTGCAGCCAGTGTGTCTCTTGGCCTCAAGCAGCATGTCCTGTTTCTTGACTCCACGGGGGGATTCACAGCCTCCCGCCTCTACCAGATGCTTCGAGCCCGGGCAGAGGAAGAGGAAGAACAGGTAAGTTCATGGCGGGGCTGGTCCTTAACCACTAACGCTGGTCTTGCTTGGCTCTTGCTAACTTCCAGAGCCAGTTCCTCTCCTCTGTCCTCCTGGGCTCTTCTGGATCCAACCTCTTTCTCCCATGGCTGGGGGGAGCTGGGCTCAGGGTTAGGCATCACACTTTGTACTGAGCTTTCCTCAGGAAAAAAGCTGTTGTGCAAGCTCTGGCTCCTTGACCTCACCGCGTTTTGGTTCTTCCCTTGGTGAAATGGGGACAGCAGTGTTCACGGGTGGAGGCTAATGTGGAATAAGGGTCCTTGGCCCCGCACCATGGTATAAATGCAAAGAGCTGTTAGAGTCCTGCGGGGCAAGAGGAATATGACTTGCAGATCTGTCAGGAGTTGCCCATGGTGCCAGGATGCATGTGCCGTGGTGCGGGTCATGGAGGAGGGGAGGCTGTCAGTGAGGCTGCTGCTTTTTACTGCAGTTGGAGGCTCTGCAGCGGGTTCAGGTGGCTCGAGTGTTTGATGTCTATGAAATGCTGGGTGCCTTGCAGGAGCTCCGGGACAGCCTCTCCCAGCAGGTAGGACCAAGACTCTGGGTCTCTTTCTCTCCTTTTGCCTTGGCTGCCTGGAGCTGCAAGAAGGGCAGCAGGCACCAGGCTTGTGTGTGCAATGACTTACACCAGGCCCAGCATTGGTCCTCCATGCAGCTTCAGGACCTCCAAAGCTGCTGGATTTGCGTAGTGTTACCCTGCATGGCTTGTGCTGCCTTGTTCCTTCAGGTGATGAGCTCCATGGGACCTCTCAAGGTTGTGCTGATAGACTCCATTTCAGCTGTGATTTACCCACTGCTGGGAGGCAAGCAGTCAGAGGGTGAGCATGCTGCGGTAGGGGCTGGAGGGTAACAGCGAAACGCTGCTGCTGGCTGCGTGAACGTGCAGTGAGGTTACGAATCTCTCGCTCTTACTGAAGAGCATCTTCCTCCTGTGTGAGCTAGTGCTTGGAGCAAGGGGCAGGCTTGACCTGGGTGCAACTGGCCCAGGTTTTACCTTACAACCAGCCAAACAGGGAGTCTGCCTCCAGTGTTACTGCAAAAATTCAAGCTGGCTTTTGTGTTGCAGGTTCCATTCACCTGAAACCTAGTAGGGGACAGGAGGCGCTGAGCTGCATTTGCTTGCTGAGTAAAACCTCTGCTTAGTGTCCCAGATGTAAAACATGCCAGCAACAAAGATGCACAGCTCCCCCTAGGCTCTTCCTGCCAAAAAAGGTTATAAATTGGGAGTGAGGAGCTTTCTGCTGGCTGAGGCACCAAGGAGACCTTTCAAACACCTGGAGGGTCTTGCACATCTCAGTAGCAGCCAGTACTAACCCAGAAAACCTCACAGCTGTGGGCTGTAGGACAGAAGCTGTGGGCTGGAGAGATGTCTGTGACTTGTAAAGCCAAACCTGGCCAGAGCTCCTGGTACTTTTTTTTTTTTTCTTCCCTTCTCCTTTCTCCTGGGGACTTCTAAGATGTGAGAGGACAACTCAGATTGGTCTGTCCATGCCCAGGCTGCTGGCTGAGGTGCCCTGGAGGAGCTGACTTGCAGCCATGGCTCCCCACGATGCATAGGTGGAGAGGATGTGTTGGGGCTCTTGGCTCTTCCTTTTTAGCAGAAAAGGGTTGAAGGCACCCCGTGAACACCAGCACCGGCACTAAATTTAGTGCTCATGAAATCTAAGTGTCACCTGCCTCTGAGGTGTGCGTGGGAACTTAGGGGGCTGCTCCCTCTGTCTCTGTTGACCCTATCAAACAGAAATACTCCATCCTCCTCCAGGCTTGGCCCTCATGATGCAGCTGGCCAGGGAGCTGAAGACACTGGCCAGGGAGTTCAGCCTCACGATTGTGGTGAGTGTTGCTGTGCCTTGCCCCTTGGGTGCTGGTGTGCACCATGGCGAGGAGTCCCGACATGGTTTTGGAGCACCCGGGGGATCCTGTTCACAGCTGAGACCTTCCAGAGCTCTGCTCCTGGGCCCGGTAGTCAATGTAGATCTGCTCTGCTGCTGCAGTCATAGTGAGAACAGGGCTGGTTAGCTGCCTGCTTTTATTGCTTTCTGCAGCCAGCAAGTAATTTGCTTGATTGAGCAAGGTGGAGGTAAGTATAAACAGACCAAAAGGTTTCTTGTATTTTTGCTATAGCCCCAGCTGTAGATTCGTACATCATTTAAGGGGCTGGCTAGCTGTCCAAATAGCCTCTTAGTTACGTTGGAGTTGGCTACAGGGTACTACGTAGTCCAGAAAGGGCTGGGGACTGGAAAGAGCCATGCTCTTTCTCCAGCTCTTGGGTGAGCAATTACATTTGCTTTGATCCCAGACAGGTTGCTGTGACCACAGTTAATGTGTTTGAATTGGAAGGGCCGCAACAGAAAATGGATGTGCTGAACCTGGCACTGGAAGGCATCGGGCCAGCCCTGCCCTTTGCTGTTCTGACTTGCAATAAAGTGACAGGGAAGGGTGCCTGGAAGGATGCTTGGAGGTTCAGAGTTAAACTTTACAGGGGGTATCAGCACGAGAAATCACTGTGGCTTGCAGAAATCAGTGAGCTCAGCATTAACCTGTGTGCTTCCTGGCTGTGCTGAGGTCCTTTTAAGCTAATGAGCAGCACTCTCATTTTTTACACTGCTGTTCATATAGACACAGCCCAGGGCTTTTCTGCTCTAGGATGAGTGCAGAATTTGATTCCCTTGTGCTTCCCCAGGCTGTGGACCCTGTCCCTAGGCTCACAGAAGGGGAAGCTTGTCATGTACCACTTAGGTTAAACAATCAGCTAGGAAAAGTAGGTTTTGTATATATACATGTGTGGTTGTGTGAGCTATGTGTTTACAGAGGTGATGTGATCATGGGGTGCAGGAAGGGGAGGAAAAGTTGCAAAAGTAGCAGATTGTGGCTGTTATCTGGTGATCTCCTGCGCTTTGTTACTGCAAGCGGCACTGTTTTTCCTTGGGTGCTGATAGCTGTGTTTGTGCTGCAGATGACTAACCAGGTGACGAGGGACAGCAGCACTGGTCCCCTGAAGCCAGCCCTCGGTCGCTCCTGGAGCTTTGTGCCCAGCACCCGGGTGCTGCTCGAGAGCAAAGAGGCGACCTGGGAGAAGGCCAACACACAGCGCATTGCCTCCCTGGCAAAATCACCCCGGCAGGTGAGGTGCTCTGCCAGCCCCTCTGGCAGTGGGGAATAAATCGTGGGAGAGGTGACCTGAGGGAGGATGAAGGACATGGGCCCCTCCTGGGGGTAAGGCAGGATCAGGCCTCACTGGGTGACCCGTTGCAATGGGAGAGGAAGAAACGCAACCTAGTTGTATCCTGCGCGAGAGAAGAGCATCTGTTCCTAGCAGCCTGGGCTTGTATTTTTAGGCATGTGAAGTGAGTGGCACCACTTGCAATCTAGGTCACCATGTTCTTCTTGCTTGTCTTAATCTCTCCTGATTGCATATGGACAGCAAAGATCCTGTGGTGCTTGCTCCAACACCTGCATAGGTGACTTTGACTTGAATGCTGCCTGTGTATTGGGGCAGTGCTGCATAAACCAACGTCCTGGCTGATAGCCTGTTCTGCATCCTGATCCAAAGGGCTTTGGAAGTGGCTGTGTGCTGGGCAGTGAAATACATCCCGGATGTGTTAAATAATTGTGTATCTGGGGACATCTCGGCGCAAGATGTTCTTTCTCTACTAAATTGCATTCTCTATTTGTATCTCTGCGTGCTCAGCAGGCCCAGTTAAAATTAGGGCACCAGCAGAAAGAAATCCTTAGTGGGATCTAATTGGGGATTTTATCTCTGGGGCAGGCAATGGAGCAATTTACAGGTGTGCCCTTAGACTCCCAGCAGTGTGAGGTTAAATTCCTCTCTGATTCCCTTTGCAGCCAACAGGGATCCAGGTGGAGCTGGATATTGGAAATGGTGATGTGCAGGAGCTGAGCCCAACAGCACCCACAGAGGGGCTCTGAAGCAGGTGGAAAAGCAAATGTCAAGGTCCAAGGTAGTTACAAAAGAGCACGCAAATGTGCTGAAGGTCTCACAAACTGACTCTGTGGCCTGGCTGAGGTGAGGGGAAAGTGCTGCAGCCCTGGAAGTACAAGGGGAAGAAGCTCTTGTTCCCCTGCAGTGGGGAGAAAAGAAGTGTGGGGTTCCCAGATGTCCTTACCCTGGTGCATACAGCCTGTGGTGCCCAGGCTTGTTGGGCAGTGTTGCAAATGGGCCTATTGCTGCAGGTGTGTCACATCATCAGAGATGGCCTTAGGTGTTGGCATGGGACCAGCTGCTATTTTGCTGTGCAAACACAAGACTCCTCATGGTGGCTTTGTTCCCTCTATAACTTGCTACTATTTGGTCTCAGAGCCCTGATCTTATTTGGGTATCCCATAGCGGTCTTGGTTAAGGGGGGGAAAAATGCTGTATGCTGTTGTAGTTGTCAAGAGCTGGGATTCAGTTAATGGTTTCTACTGTTATCTTAATTAAAATTTTCAAGGATAGTGTTTTCTTGGCCTGTTTATTCCCTAGTGGGACAGGCTGCTGATGAGAAAGGGCATAATCAGATGTTTGAGCTAACCTTCTCCCCAGGGTAATGATGGGGGCCTTGTAGGCTGGTGTCAGTATTTCTGTGACACTGCTGTGCTGCAGAAAGCATTGCTGTTAACTCATGAAAAAAGGTTATGATGGGCCAGATCAGCTGGGGTGGACAAGTGCTCATTGATACCAGTTGGCCTGTCTGCTTAAGGACCCACTTAATCTCACGTGCTAATGTTTAAAATAATCCTTCCTTGCCCTAGTGGTTTCTCCCTGCTCTTGGCAACCTCCTTGGAGTTGTGAGGTTGGGATGGAGCGTGGCCTCTCTTCTTGATCCACGAGCTGCTTCCCTGAGCTCAGCAGCTGGGCAATGGGCTGGAGCCATGAGGAATAGTAGCACCTTGTGTCCGGCCAACTTGGTTACAGGGTTGGGAGCTCCTGCCTGTGCCTGGAGGGGAAGGAGAAGTGGTGAAACAGCTGCGGCTCGTGCAGCAAAGGCAAGTCTAGACCCTCGTGCTCTGCAAGGTGCAAGAAAACTTGGCAGTGGAGCTGAGTTAGGGCTTGCACCTCTGAGGCTGCTATATGTTGTGGCAGCTGAGGCTCATCGTATTTCAGGTTTCCAGAAGGCAGCACAGAAGGTTTTTCATGTCTGTCAGAGCTGTGCTTCCTGCAAAACCCAGCTCTGTCATTTAGCAGGCTGATAGGTCCTACCTCCTCCTAACTTGGTCACCTGGTGCTTTTGTCCCTGTGCATGCGGCTGTGGGAAAGGCCATGCTCCCAGCAAGCCCTGCCAGAAGAGGGGAAAAAAATGCTGAAACAACACGAGCTGTATCATTAAACAATTTCAAGTAAAAATAAATGTATTAAGTCATCTATTTGTTGCATTTCTGGGAGTCCCAGGCCAGTATGCTGCTGGGAGTGCAGTGAGGGTGCAAGTCTGGTTTGGCCCTGGGGAATTGCAGCCTGTCTGCTGGGGAGGGGGATGAGGAAGAGGGTTTCCCTGCTTGTGGTGAGCTGTGCTGGAGCTGTGGCTGGTCCCTGCAAGAAGAAAACATGGCTTGTTCTGGCTCTTGAAAAAGCTATGAATGAAGAGCCGATGCGCAAATGTTTTGGCCAATGACTGCATGCTGCAGGTTTCTCACTCTGTCTGAGGTCCCTCTTCTGCGGGGGAAAGCAAAGTTCTCACTGTGGTATGTGGACTCGGGGGGGGGGGGC